GTCAGTAACAGAATTGGTATCATGGTGCAGATAGGTAAGAGGGTATATAGCGCAGCAGAAAATGAAAATATCTGAAAAAACATGATATTAAATTTTCTTTGCAGGTTCAGTCGCTCCATTCCTCCACCTTCATGAGAAGGGCGTATTTGAAGGCAGTACAAAGAATGAAAGTGCATCCCCGCAAAGAAGACTGCCACATGTGCGCACGCGCTGCAAAGGCACCTCCTCTGCCTATCGCTCGCTCCTTCTCCCTTAATACCTCGCTGAGAATGACACTGTTGTTAGGGACCCTGTCGCAAAAACGACAACCGTGAAGGAAAAGCCCTGGGCAAATGAAGTTGTTCTTCAGGTTATAGGAGTTACGAAATGTGTTTACTACAATGCAGCTTCTGTCAACTGGTCATGATCATATAACACCTTTCAATCGATTCTGCAACTTCGAGTGGAGGTCGGATGCATGGCCTATACCAAGACAAATCGGATGATGACGATTGCCCCTTTCTTATTGCTTGCGTTGAAAGATGTTCTAGACACATTTCGAGCGTTGCCAACGAATCACACTTGCAATGGTGAAGGAGGGAGCGGATTTTCAGGTGGCCGGATCCGTCCTCGATACATACTCGACGCAGATATCTTCTCAACTAGGAAATGTAGAAGAAAGCTAAAAGACCATCAGAAAGCGCAAACCTTCCGCTTTCCAAAACTATCTTCCCTTTTTCAGGATCTTACGAATTAGAGAGATATTGCTTTTGAAGTGGCAAAAACTCGCGTGAAAATTTCAGCATCCTCGACGTTTACTCGACGAAATTTGAGAGACCCTATCTTTCTGCATGGAAGGCTTTCAGAGCAATTTCAATACTTCTTGGAAACGCGAAATCCAGCTCTTCAAAGGTTATGAAATGGAGGAATGCAACCTTTTCATCGAGGGTGTAGATTTCGACGGTTTTTTTTTCGGGATTTCAGCAAATCTGACCCAGTGACAATCGCGCCGCAGCTGCCGTTGAATCGGCCGTTTGATACACTCGGCTGTTTTGATA